AAAGATGTAGGACGCAGGGAAGGAAAAAAAAAGATCACTAAAAACTCAAAATGACACCGCAGCATGCGCAGTGACAGCACACAAGAAATACGATTCAACAAAAAAAACAAAAATTACTCTTAAAGACGGTTTCAAAAACAAAACAAAAATATGTTGTCGTGGAAGACCACTGTGCGATCCCACAGCTCCATTCACATTTTGGCCGCATATAAAAGTAAATGAAATATTCGCTTCAACCACTGAAAGCCCCCGGTGTCCAGACACCGTTTAACTTTCACATTGACCCTCAGTACGTTGCTGTGGCTTCTCATTCTTTCCTTCATTATTTCCTCCTCCCATCAGCAGGCACACAATGCCGAGAGCATCCGCGGACGCCAAACGGAAGCGGTTAGTTGTTTTTCTTCGTGTCTTTTCGAACGAATTCGATAGCCTGCACGTCAGCCGGCACCGCGGCACACGTCCGCACCCACCAAAAAACCAAGACGTAAAATAGAGAGCCCTGGTCCTTCCCGCGGCGACCGCAGTGCGGAGGCGCAGTGAAGCATGTCACGCCGCCGGGGAAACACGCAGGCTCAACGCCATCGTCAAGAACGAACCGGCAAACCAAAAAAAAAACATCCATAAAGCAGTAAAAAGCAATTCAGTGAATGGCATCCTGTTATCAATAGAGGCGTACAATATAAAAAAACAAAGAAGGACGAAATAAAATAAATGAAAGCCCCGCTGTGCTGGAGCCGATGAGAGAAAGCAATCTGTGGGTCCAAAACGAACAAATAAATATATATGCGTAAACAAAAAAAAAGCGTAAAAAAATGGGTGCCCACATGAGAAAATATTCACTTCACAGGGCGCGTAGAGAAACGGAGATGCTCTCAGTAGAATCACAAACTCCCCTATACCGGGGCTCCACTCAGGACAGGGCTGCAAAGCCCCATAGCCCAAATAGCAGCAGAATTGACACCCGGAGCACATCAGCACGCGTGGAACTGTCACTTGGACGTTCTCCAGATGCAACGTAGCTGTCAACCGCTTTAAGTTCCATGGCATTCAGTGGTCGGTTGTACAAAAAAACGTTCTTTACTTTCACACTGCTGTTTTCGCCGCCACCAAAGTAAAAGTGTGCGATTTGGTGCCACCGTACCTTAAGAATTGGTAGTTTGTTAGTATTCCCCACAAGCACGCCGTCCACGTACACAGAGCCCTCATTGGCCTGCAGCATGAGCGCCACTTTGTACTTCTTCCCCGGCTCCCAAGTGCTGTTGTGTGTTGTTGTTGTCATGCCGTCGAAGACTGTCACCCACTGTTTCTCCGCCGTGTACGACAGCCCCACAAACTTCAAGTTGTTCTTTCTGCTCAGTGACGCACCCAGCAGAGGAGCGCTCTCTTTCGGAACCTCAGCGATCGTCACCGTCGCCACAAGCGTGAACTCATAATCCATAAAGCTGTGCACATATTGATGCTTCCGCATGTTCACGGGCCACATGGCGTATGACTCGGACCCTGTGAACTCAAAGCCATCTTCGACCTTCTTTGCATTCGTCACAATTGCATTCACGCAGTGGTACGCGTCTTTCCAAGTTGCATCACCCGATGCATCCGACAAGAATCCAACCAGACCGACCGTGGGCACAGACGACATGGAGAAGTAGGAGTCCAGTTTTGCCCAAGTCTCCAAGACTGACGTGATCCTCTTCAGCTTCTTCCTTAGAAAAGTAAAAATCAGGATATTTGCCGTGTCGTTACTCCTCTCTTGTAAAAAGTACAACGCATCTTTCGAATGCAGCAGGGTGTTGGCAGACGTCCACTTCTCTGTAGTGTCCATGGAAATGGGCCCAACGTGAAACGTGCGGTTGTTGTCAGTGACCCAAAGGTAGAGCTTGGTGGCTGGCGGCGTGTCCCAAGGGGGAATCCCTTTCTGAGTGTACAGCATGACCTTCTTTCCAGCAATGATGGCAGTGGTGAGGGACCCCACTCCTTCAGGTTTCTGAGAAGCGTCTGGTAACAACCTGGGCTGAACACGTGTGAGTATCCTGACAGCCTCCCTCCACGTTGCCCCCATGTCCCTCGACTCGAACACATTGGAGAGCAAATCACATTTGGCAACCATGACAAGCTGCCCCTGCTCCCACTCAACGATGAGGGGGTCAGTGCACCACCTGAGGAGCGTCCCCTGTGGAAGCACCCAATTTTTGCCGTCATCCTTCGAATAAACAATCATGGAGACAGTTTCG